CTCTGACAGGTATCTCAGCAGTCAGGGTGTGAGGCCTGGTACAGAGTCTGATCAATGCTGGCTGAATGAATGAGGCTCAAAAACAACTCTGACACGTATAACATTGAATACCAATCCCTTCTAGGCCTCTGAATTCTTAAATATTTTACATAGGATATAAGTGATAGAAACTTTTGCCCTTTATATTATTTTCAACTTTTGAATCATACATACTACACTAAGTATCAATTTTTCTCTCTTAGGCTGTCAGATGCTCATCATATATTGCCTTTTTCTGAGGTGGTTCTGTTGTGATTCCTTTTTTTTGACAATATTTTTCACTTATACTCGGCACACAACATTGTATTAGTTTCAGGTGCACGGCATAGTGATTTATATCTATATAACTCACAAAGTGATCACTCCCATAAATGCAGTACCTCTCTGACACCACAGTTATCACGGCATTATTGGCTATATTCCTATGCTATACTTCTATCCCCGTGACTGTTTTGTAACTGCCAGTTTGTACTTCTTAATCCCTTCCCTTTTCACCAACCTTCCCAACCCCCCTCCCACCTGGTAATCCTAAAAATGTTCTCTGTATTTATGAGTTTGTTTTTTTGTTTATTTTGTTCTTTAGAGGAGTCCCTGAGCCCTGGGCCATGGATCAGTACCTGTCCGTGGCCCATTAGGAACTGGGCCGCACAGGTGGTGAGCGGCAGGCAAGCGAGCGAAACTTAATCTGTATTTGCAGCCACTCTCCAGCATCAGCATCACCACCTCAGCTCCGCCTCAGATCAGGCATCAGATTCTCATAGGAGCACCGGTCCCTGGTGGCACAAAGGCTGGGGACCACTGCTATAAAGTCCACTTATGTGTACAATCATATGGTATTTCTCTTCCTCTGACTTACTACACTCAGCACAATACCTTTTAGGTCCATCATAAAATATCTTTTTCCATCCCATTACTTTTAGTCTGTGTCTTTTAATCTGAAGTGAGTCTCTTACAGGCAGCATATGTAAGGTTCTTGTTTTATCCATTCAGCCACCTTATCTTTTGATTGAAGCATTTCTTTTTCATTTGAAGTACTTGCTGATAGATATGTAGTAATTGCCACTCTTTATTCATATTTTTGATATATATTTTTTTCTTCTTAAAGAAGTCTCTCTAATATCTCCTATAGTACTGGCTTGGCGGTGGTGAACTCCTTTAGCTTTCTGTCTGGGAAGCTCTTTATCTGTCTTTTGACTCTAAATGACAGCTTTGCTGGGTACAGTAATCTTACTTGTAGGTCCTTTTCATCACTTTGAATATTTTGTGCCAGTCCCTTCTAGCCTGCAAAGTTTTTGAGAAATTGGCTGTCAGTCTTATGGGAGCGCCCTTGTAGGTAATTGCTTTTCTCTTGCTGCTTTTCAGATTTGCTCTTTGAATTTAACCTTTGGCATTTTAATTATGCCTTGGTGTGGGCCTTTTTGGGTTCATCTTGTTTGGGACTCTCTGAACTTGGGGTTGTATGTCTATTTCCTTCACCAGGTTAGGGACATTTTTTGTCATTATTTCTTCAAATAGGTTTTCAGTTCCTCTCTCTCTCTCCCTCTTCTCCTTCTGGTACCCCTATAATGCCAACGTTGTAACACTTGACGTCGTCCCAGAGGCTCCTTAAATTATCTTCATTTTTTTGGATTTTTCTTGCTGCTGTTCTGACTGGGTGCCCTCCGCATCCCCAACTTCTATGTCGCTGATTCGATTCTCCATTGCATCCACTCTATTGATTCTCTCTAATGTGCTCATCTCAGATATTGTATTCTTCGTTTCTGACTGGCTTGCTCCCTGCTGCTTTCCATTTCCTTTTTTATGGAAAGTTAAAGTTCTCACTGAGTTCATCTGCTTTTCCCCTAAGTTCCTTGAGCATCCTTACAACAAGTGTTTTGAACTCTGCATCTGGTAGATTGCTTGTATCCATTTCGGTGAGCTTTTTCTGGAGCTTTGTTCTGTTCTTTCATGTGGGCCATGGTGCTTTGTCTCCCCATTTTGGCTGTCTCCCTGTGTCTACTTCCATGTGTTAGGTAGGGCTCCTAAGTCTCCCGGTCTTAGTAGAGTGGCTTCGTGTAGTGGGTGTGCTGTGGGGCCTGGTGGCACAATCCTGAGGAGGGGTCCGGCTGCAGGCCAAGTTCAGCCACAGCCTGTGTACCTCTGAGGCCACCTGCTAAGAGTCAGATGGCTGCCACTCATGCTGGGCTTAAAGGTGCCTCAAGGGGCCAGATCAGAAACCGAGGCTGGCTGCCACCAGTGCAGGGCTTGGGCTTGCTCAGCAAGAAGTCCGGGCCCGCCAAGGCCAGGTGCTACTGCCTGGGTTTTATGAGACTTTGAGGGATTTTAAGAAAGTCCGAGCAGGAGCCAAGACAGCCCATTTGCAGGGAATAAACCACTGGAAGCAGCCTGCGTGGGCCCCCACATTGTGCGGGGTGGGGTCTCAGGGAATCCCCTGGGCAGAGCGACCTGTGTTATCCAGGTTGTTGGCGCCTGCGTCTGCAGGCTGGGAGAGGGTAGGGTTCAACAAAGGGACAGTGGCTTCTGCCTGTACCTCTGCCTGGGAGCCAGCCACCCCTCCAGCCCTGGCCCTGAAGCCCATCAGCTCTGCATCTCCCCGCATGTCCCTGGCACCCCTCGAGCAGCTGCCCCAACAAGGGAGCTCAGAGCGGTGAGTCTAGCAGTGAGTTAGGCCAGCAGGCCCCTAAGAGGAAGGTCCCACTTCCCGCAGCCCTCCTCTCACTCAGCCGCCACAGCCGGAGGTGGTGGGGACTTCTCTTCCTAGCACTGGAACCCTAGGCTGGGGATCCCGGTGTGTGACCAGGACCCCTCGTTCCTCAGGTGGGGGAGGAGGCCCCACAGCCAAGACAGCCCTCCCGATGCTCGATGGCTGCTCGTGGTTGTGGGATTCACGGTTCCTGTCTGACCCTCCTATTGGCTTGAGGTGACCTGTTATTTTTGTCCCTAGTTGTAGGGCTTCTGTTCAGCCAGCCCTCAGGTGACTCTGCACGCTGGTTGCTCTACAGTTTTGTTATAATTTTGATGTGGTCGCAATAGGAGGCTTGCACAGCCACTACCCTCTACGCCGTCTTGTGAGGGTGCAATTTGTTGTCATTCTTATACTTACTTTGTTGAGTCTTCAAATTCAATCTTTACCATATTGTTGAACATACAGATAATCTCACTGCAATTCATATTCAACCTAAAATAAACACTAACATAAGTAAATGTTCTAGTACAAGTTTATTATTATCTCTAAATAAAAATCAGTTGGACACTAAAAACTGTAAAAGATAGAACATTCAAATAACTTTGTTACTTATCATAAGTTACACTGATTTTAATTTGGTTGCTAACTTGGGAAACATTTGTGAACCGAATTATCAATTTATGATTACTTGCTACTTTAGTTGTCTAGGCACTGATACATTTTTATACTTGATTACTATGTTTTCCTGAAATATAACTTACTTACCTGGGAGAATTCCTTAGTTTTAGAGTCCTAAATTGTGACAATTCACTCTCAAATGTTAATTTCAAAGTCCGGATAATCTGGAATCAGAAGAAAAGTGTTACTCATATGTGAATTTTCTTTTTAATAACTATTGCTGAAACAGAGTAAGATTTTAGAAGGAAAACTATACCTTCAAGTATTTCACTAGTTAATGTGTTCAAGGTTTTATTTTAGGCACTCAAAGGAAGGGATGCAAATAAGTATAACTTTTTCCCCTAAAAGGGCTTTAAAATCTTTTAGAGGTATGTTTTAACATGTAACAACAATAAAAGGCACTAGTTAATAAATGAGTCAAAGCTACATGATCAGAGGAAATTTGGACCTGCACTGCTGTCCTCAAATTTTTTTTGCCCACCTTCCTAATGAAGCTAAAGGTCAAGTCTTACCACTTTTCTTCTTCTCCTAATGCCTCATGTGGAACGCACAGGAAACGACTATTACTGGTTCAGAACTGAAGCTGGAACACAGTGGCACGCAAGACAGTGGCAAACTCTTCTTTCATTTAGAGACTCTGGAGCAGGTAAACCAATGGCTTCTATTTTGTACCTCAGTTCAATCACAACGTCTGATTACAGACAGGAAATGAAGCACTGGGGACCCAAAGACAGAGCACGACCTGCTGCCCAAGGGCACCAGGTAGGAATTATCGAAGAGGACCCACGGTTAACCCCATCCTGCCAAACCATCTCCTAGGAAACACGTTTCTATACTTTTGCCCAACTCTGCTCCCTCGCACACAATTAGAGGACAGGACATAGCTGAAGCACCTTGTCTCTTGACCTTCACATTTGGCGAAGCAAGAGGGGGAAAGGAGGAAACCTTTGGGATCTTGAATTAAACTTTTAAGTCAAGAGCTGAAAGTCACACCTAAACTGTTTATGAAAAGAAAACAGAATCCCATTTAGTTTGTAACCTTTATTTGTCCTGACTTTTTATTCAAATGTCCTAGAAGCATCAACTTTCAAGTCAGTCATCCTATTTGTTCTCAGATCATGTGTTATAAAAACCTTATTGTAACATTTATCTAAGTGGTAAATAATAATAAAAGGCTAAACAAATTTATTAATGTTTGTCTTAGAATTCAAACAGCTAAGAATTCTAAATTGTTGTCAATACAAGTTAAGACAATCTGAAAAACATGTTCTTGTTAATTCTTAAATATATCGAAAACTTGTAAAATAAACTACTTCAGAAATAACTCACATGATGAACTATTAAAATTACCTGATTCAGGTCACAATAAGTCCTTAGAGAAGGTGCTGATTTTAATTCTTTTGCTATCTTCATAGCTGCATCCAAATCATTTTTTTTCTCTTCAATGTAGTTTTTAGCCATTATTACATGTGATAAATAATCATCTGTATTTCCTACTACTTCTTCACACAAGTTCTTTTTCCTTTATATAAGATCCCAAAGTTATTTGAAAAATTTCATACACATTTACATGAAAGTTAATTTATAGTAACAACGATATAAAAGGGTAATTTTGCTAGTTTATGAACTTAACATGGTTAAATGAGGCATTCAATTGAACTTAAACGTATTACAATTGAAAGCTATGTATGTATAACTAAAGAAAAATCAAATTTTCTAGGTTATAGTTATGTCACAGATACAGTGTCACGGAATTGCAAGGTTAAGACAGACCCTAGGTAATTCCACCCAAAACAGAAATCTTCGCTATCCTGCAGTCACTTGTGCCATTACAAAGACACATTTGTACTCATTTCTCAATAGAATCTACCTGGACATTTCAAAATTTCTATCAAGACACATGAATACATGAATAATATTTTACATGAATAAAAAATATTTTAAAAGAGACCACCAGACCATAACTTAGGTATTAATTAATTATAACCTTCAAAGTAATCACTTAGGAAGGCTATACAGATTATTCCTTCATTAATGGTACCTCATTACTCAAAACTCTTTTTGGACCTATGGCAGAATTACATAATGGAACTTAAAAATTTTGTACCAAAAATTGCAGTGTCTAAAGTCACTCATTTTATTCAAGTGTCTTTTCATTATTTCCTCAAAAGCAAATCTGACCTCAAAAAAAGAGTTTGCCACACTGAAGATTAACGAGAATGTGACATAGGCTCTGGAGATAAAAAGGTATTACAAAAACCTTTCAGTAATTGTATACATAATCTCTGAAAATCTTTTCTTTAGGGAAAAAAAATGGCCATTTTGTAAGATCTAATATGGTTCCCAAAAGCTCATGCCTGTGTAGTCATGTCAACAAAATAGCAGATTGGGAGACTTAGGCCCTCGCTCCCCAACAGAGATATTAAAAAACATATGAAAAATGATAAAAATAATCTTACAGGAACTCTGGAAAATAGAGAAAGGTATACAACGACCATGCAAATGCCCAACCAATAAAAACCCACACTCAAAACAACAGGAAATGCGGTGTTTTACTTGTCCTTGCCCAGCCGCGGTACGGTTTTAATCTGAAGGCAGCAGCACCGTTCTCAATCCTTCTCTCAAACCAGAGGGAACAGCAGACTTTATTCTCAACATCCTAATTTGTCTGGGGGCTACCTAAAGAACTAGTCTGTTTCACCTGATTTGGAGCTCAGGCGTGAGAAGCAGTGAGCACTGCTTACAAAGGCTGCAAGAAGACCAAGACCTGCAGACACCTGGGCAAGAGATCACAGGTAAAGACATACAATAAACCATTTGAGGCTGATAGGAGAAGCCTAAGTAAGACTCTTTGGGAAATTAAAACACTGAAAAGCAGCCATGTATACAAGAGAATCGAAAAAAACCACACTCAGACCCCGACAAGACACGTGCTCAGAAAGGACCCAAGGACCCCAGAAACCTTCACGTCAGGCTGTGCCAAGGCTCAAAGCATGCTCAGTTCCTCAGTGAAGAGCCAGTTTGTAATGATTGACAGAGGCTGCTGTGCCCAATTTCCAACAAAACATTAGATATACAAAGGAAATCAGAAAACAAAAAAGGACCAAAATGTGAAAATCAACAGACAGAAATTATAAAATGGAAAATCCAGTGCTCAAAAGTACAATAACTGAAAGGAAAAATCCACTACAGGGGTTCAACTGCATATCTGAGCAAGAATAAAAATCCGTAAACTTGAATATAGGACCACTGAAATGACTGAGTCTGAGGAACAGAAAGAACAAAGATTGTTGGAGTAAACGGAGCTGAAGAAACTTCACAGACACCCTTCAAGAGGACCAACATGTGCATTATAATAGTCCCAAAGGAGAAGAGAGGGACAGAGAGATTATTTGAAGAAATAATTGCTAAAAACTTCCAAAATTAGAAAAAAACCCATGAATTTACAAATCCAAGAACTCAAAGAAATCTAAGCAGAGACCCCATACTGAGACACAGTATAATCAAACTGTCAAAAGACAGAGAATCTTAAAAGTGGCAAGAGAGATGAGATCTGTCCTATACAAGGGATCCTCAGGTTATCAGCTTATTTCTCACCAGAAACCCCAGAGGCCAGAGGCAGTGGGATGACATACTTCAAGTGTAGAAAGAAAAAAACTGACAGCTGAGAACTCTTAACCTAGAAAAACTATCTTGCAAAAACTTGGAGAAATTAAAATATTCCCAGGTAAAAGCTGATGTCATTACCAATATGTGTTCTATAGAAATGCTAACAGGCATCCTTTGAATTAGAATGAAAGCAAGCCAGACAATAACTCAAAGCCATACAAAAATAAGTATTTCTGGTAAAGGTAAATACATGGGCAAATATAAAATCTAGTATGATTGTAATTTTGGTTTATAACTCCACTTTTTCTTTTCTATAGCATTTAAAGGACGAATACATAAAATGACTAAGCTATGTTAACGAGTATACAATGTCCACAGATGCGATTGTGACAACAAAATAAAGAGGATGGAGGTGTTAAGGAGTAAGCCAGCTGGTATGGATCCAAAATAGAGTGTTTTAACTTTAGAGGGTTATATGTAATACTCAAGGTAACCACAAAGAAATTAACTACAGAATATGCAAAAAATAAATGAGAAGAGAATCGAAATGTATCACTACAGAAAAAGTAAAAAGAAAGGAAGGTAGAAATACAGGAAATGAATGAGAAAAAAAAAGCTATAAGACATATAAACATGGAAAAAATAAGTCCTTCTTTATCAGTAATTATCTTAAATGTAAATGGATTAAACTTCCAAATCAAAAAAAGTAGAACAGAAGAACAGATTTTTAAAAACTGATAGCATATACTCAGGTCTATAAGAGATTCACTTTAGATCTAAAGACACACATAGATTAAAAGTGAAAGTATAGAAAAAGATATTCCATGCAAACAGTAAGCAAAACAGAGTTAGGGTGGCTATATTAATATCGGACTAAACAGACTAAGTCAAAACTATTACAAGAGACAAGAGACAAAGAAGAACATTATATTGTAGTCAGGGTCAATTCACAGGAAGATATAACAATTACAACAATGTACACACTGAATATAAGAGTTCTGAATATATGAAGCTAACAGTGACAGAATTAAAGAGAGAAACAAAGCACTCTCTACAATAGTGAGACTTCAATATACAACTTCCAATAATGGACAGAAAAATCATACAGAGTATCAATAAGAAAACAAATTACTTAACATTATAAACCAATTGGACCTGAGAGACACACAGAAAATACACCACTCAACAGAGAATACGTATTTTCCTTGTGCATACATGGAGCATTCTCCAGGTTAGACCATGTGTTAGGTCAAAAAACAAGTCTTAATAAATTTTAAAAGACTGAAAGCATACAAAGTGCCTTTTCTGGTCACAATGGAAAGTAGAACTCAATAACAGAAGGGAACTGGAAAATTATAAGTATGTGGAAATTAAATAAGATACTCCTAAACACAAATAGGTCCAGGAAAAATATCACTAGGAAAACACCCTGAGACAAATGAAAGCAAACAAAATGAGAAACAATGAAAGCAGAGCTAAAAGGGAAATAACTGTAAACACATTCAAAAAGAGATGGCAAACCAACAACCTAAGTTTACACCCTAGTAACTAAAAAAAGAACAAACTAAATCTAGAGTTGGCAGAGAAAAGTAAAGAGACTGAATCAGTAATCAAAACCTCCAAAGAAAAGCCCTGGACTAGATGGCTTCCACTGGTGAATTCTACCAAATATTTAATGAAAAATTAATACCAATCCTCATCGAAGCCTTCTAAAAAACATAAGGGGCAGAAACATTTCCTGACTCAGTCTATGAGGTTGGCATTACCAAGGCCGTATGAAAATGAAGGGAACTACAGACCAGTATCTGAGTACCGATGCAAAACCCTCAACAAAATCTAGTGAACTGAACTCAGCAGCATACTAAAAGGACAATACATCATGACCAAGTGAGATTTATTCCTGGAATGCAAAGATGATTCAATATACAAAAATCAATTAATGTTATACACATTAAGAAAAAGTAAAAACCATGAGCCTCCCGAAAGATGCAAAAAAAGGATATGACATATTTCAACACACTTTCATGATAAAAAAAAATAGTCAATAAACTAAGAATTGAAGGAAACTACATCTACATAATAAAAGCAATACGTGAAAAACCCATGCTCAGCGTTATGTTAGATGGCGGGCTGGCAGCTTTTCTTTAAGGCCAGGTACCAGATGAGGACGTGTGCTTTTGCACTGATCTTTAAAATACTATTCTAAGTTTTAGCCACAGAAATATGCAAAAAAAGAATGAAAAGGTACACAAATTTGAAAAGAAGTAAAATTATCTTTTTTGCAGGTGACATGATCTCATATGCAGAAAACCCTAAAGATGCCATAACTATACTAGAAGTTCTAATTAAGGAGTTCAGCAAAAATGTAGACTATGAAATCAACACACAAATCAGATGCATTTCTATATACTAACAATGAACACTGAAGGAAATTAAGAAAACAATTCCTTTAAAATATAATAAAAAGAATATACTAAGGAATACATTTAACCAAGAAGGCAACAGACTTGCACATTTACTGTACACTACACACGCTGCTGAAAGAAATTAAAGATGACAAAAATAAATGGAAAGACGCCCACGTTCATGGAATGGAAGACATGACGTTATTAAGATGCAAACACCACCCAAAGCATCTACAATTCAGTGTGTCCCTATCAAGATCCCGATGATGTCTCATGAAGAATAGAAAATCCCATTCTAAAGGTCACAAGGAGTCTCAAAGAACCCCAAACTGACAAAACAATCTTGAAAAAGGAGAACAAGGTTGGAGGACTCACACATCCTGATTTCAAAACTCACTACAAAGCTACGGTCATCAAAACAGTGTGCTGCGGGCGTAAGGACAGACAGCGATGGAACAGAGTGCCCCAAAATAAACCTTCACATAGGTCAACTGAGTTCTGACAAGCGTGCTGAGACAACTTAATGGAGAAAAGACCATCTTTTCGACACATGCTGCTGGCAAAACTGGATATCCACGTGGAAGAGAATGAAGCTGGATCCCTCCCTTACGCCACATACGACAATAAACTCAAAATGAATCAAAGACCTAATTGAAATTCAGAGCTAAAACTATAAAACTCTTAGACGAAAACGGGGAAAGCTTCTTGATGTTAAATTTGGCAATGATTTCTTGGATGCGTCCCAAAAAGTACAGGCAACAAAAGAAAAAATAAATTGGACTTTATCAGTAACTTTTGTGGATCAAATAATGCTATCACGAGAGTGAAAAGGCAACTTCTACAAGAGAAAAATACCTGAAAATGATACATCTGATAAAAGATTAATATCAATAATATACAAAGAACTCTATAATCCAACAAAGTAAATTATCCAGTTCAAAAATGAGCACTCATACAACTCAATACCAGAAAAACAAACATACATTCCAATTAAAAAATGGACAGAAGGCCTTAATAGACATACAGATAGATGGTCAACAGACCTATGAAAAGATGCTCAACATCATTAATCATCAGAGAAATGCAAAACCAAACCACAATGAGTATCACCTTACACCCGTCAGAATGCCCATCTTTAATAAATGTACAAACAGCAAGTGCTGGCAAGGATGTGGAAAAAAGGGAATCCTCGTGCATTGTTGGTGGGACTATAAATTCATGTAACTACTATGGAAAACAATGTGGAGGTTCCTCAAAAAATTATAAACTGAAAACAAAAAATTAAAAACCATACAATCCAGCAATTCCACTTCTGGTTATTTATACGAAGAAAACAAAAACACTACCTTGAACATATGCACCCCTATGTTCACTGCAGCATTACTAGTAATAGCTATTAGGAAAATGTAAATCAAAATCACAATGAGATATTATTTCATACCTATTGGGACACAATCATCAACGCCCCCCCCCCAAAAAAAAAACCAGAAGATAACACTGTTCATGAGGATATGGAGAAACTGGAACACTGTGCACAGCTGGTGGGCAGGTAAAGTGTGTAGCCATAGAAGAAAACAGCTTGGTGTTTCCTCAGAAACTTAAACATAGAATTACCATATGCCACTAAACTGTACACTTAAAAATGGTTAAAAAAGGGAAACTTTGTCATGTGTATTTTATTACTATAAAAACTGTAAAATAAATGCGTCCACATGACCCATTGCTTAATATTATGATTAAAAACCATGTAAGAGACAGCATCAATGTGGAATAAAGAACATCAACTGATTCACTGACACTGCATTTACTGAGCCTGCGTTCTAGGCATTCTAATGAGACAAAAAAATAAATAAATAAATAAGAACGAAGAGTCAAAAGGATGAGTACCATTTCTAATGTATTTCTTTGGGCATATCACAACATTCATGATTCTGTTTCTTCGAATGCGAAATGTGATTAAGATCATTAAAGATCACATGTATCAAAAAGTTTTTTCAAAAAGTAATGGATATATATACAAATAACTGTATAGTATTTGTTTAGAAATGAATATTAGAGTACTATTTGCTCTGATGCAAATAAACATGAAAAATAATGTAACTATGTATAAGCAAATGGTTGCATTTCCCTAATAAGTTGAATTCTACAACATGGATTCAGATTTTGCAAATAATTTTCTGTGCTGCTTTGATAAAGAAGCTTATTTAACACTTAGCTTTGGGACTAGAATGCAAAATAGACCAAATAAAAAAAATGTACAAATTGTTTCTCATTTTAAAGTTGTAAACTTTAGCCTGTACAGATCACTCATTACCTTCCAAATTTGTTTAAAAATTACTCATTACTTCAATCTCTATAAAGAAACAAAATGTCAGGTTATTGTTACTACTCCAGTTTCATTGTGTCTGTATTTTTAAGTTATTACCTGGAATCTAGAGAAGTAAAAAGTTGGTCAAACTGTTTCTCCAGAACCTCTAAAAGGCTGACTGTCTTCTCTTGTGTTTGACTGTGTATGTGTTCCAGCATCTGGGAAGAACAATACAAAAACCTAATTTGGTATTTTTATTTTGTAGAAATTATACTATTCAACATAATTTTGAAAATACAAAATGCATTTTGGAGTTTTTAAAATAATAACACAAGAGGAGATTAGATAAAAATGGAATGTCACAAGGTTCAAGTTTAAATCCTGGTACCCATCTGCAAGGTCACATCTTTTTGGGCACTGTCTACTGATAAACTGGCAAAGGCCTAGAAAATCCGCTAAGTTTCCAAACGTCTTTCTTATCTTTTTTTTTATCATTACAGCAAACGAGTCATTTTAAATAGCTCTATTTCTCTCTGGTGGTATTCCTTATATTTAAAACATATTATTTTAATCCAATTATTATTTTTTAATATTAACTACTCCACATACTTCTTTCCATTTCTAAACAAAGAATTGTTGTTTGAGATCTGTGACCCCTTCTTTCCCTCTAGTTTCTCCATTCTGGATGGGCATGTCTGTCCTGTGCGTGTCCCACCACTGTCTTTTAGAAGCAAATTATTTATTATCCAGTTTTACAGATTCAGAGAGGAATTTGGCCCCAGGATGAGTCAGACCCTGACTCACACCCATACCTGTCTTAGAAGATATTTAGATGAGACTTTGGATTCAGAGTCGCTGCTAGAACAGGTTAAGACTGAGTTGGGGTGGAGTGAATGTGTTCTGCATGTGAGAAGGACATGAATCTGGGGGACAGAGGGCACACCGTTTCCGGTTGAACTGTGTCCCCCCAATTCATATGTTGAAGTCTTAACTCCTATTTCAGCTATAACCTTTTGACGGGCTTGGTTGTAAATTTGTTGTTGCTTGTTCTGTCACCAAATGAGTCTCTCCTTCGAGGGGTGGGGAATGGGAGAAAAGAGAATAAGACTTTTTGTGTAAGGGCACACAGCCAAATAACAAGCAGTGTTAGGAAGCTTCTGGGACAAAATTCAGTTCGGAGAAGAAGAAATCGCGGTTGCTTGCTGGAGCTGGGATGTTGGCAGGCAGCCAGCATGACGCCACCAGACCAACCCTTGAGGGCCAAGGGGTTTCCATTCTGTTGTACGTTTCTCTGTCTTTAGATTGTTGTGCTTACTAATTCAGTGCTAAGCTCTAACTCCATGATAATGCATCCGAACATACACATATAAAGAGAACATACCCTAAATCATGAAAATTTAATAATTCAAAGTGCTTACATTGACAGCAATACTTAATTGTTCAAAATTATTGCCTGCTATCTTCAATGCTTCATCAATTTCTTCTGCAGTTTTCGTCTCCTAAAAAGGGGAAGACCACATACAAATGTAAAATATAAAAATAGATACTTAGATATATTAGTCATAAAAACATCAAGCTATCATTCTGATTACAAAAGCAACATAGACTCACTACAGAAATCTGAAAACATGCAAGAAAAATAATACTGTTAATCCTACTTACCCAAGGATTAAAAAAAATTAACATTTTCAAGTTCTGGCTATAGCATTCCAGATTTTTTTTTACATATCTTTTTGAAAAAATAAGATTATGTCCTATAACCATTTTGAAATTGAAAACTGCCTTGAAAATTTTATCATGGCAATAAATGTACACATGTAAAAATTAACAGTTTAAGAAAAAAAATATAAATTGGCTATGTTAAGATTTCAAGTAAAAGATAGTAAGATTAAGTGTTCTTTCTCTTCCCCCAGTCCACTAAAGATCTCCTTAACAAAAAGATTGAATATGTTATTCAACAGCATTTTGGAGTTTGCCCTATTTCTGATCCTGAATTTAAAACATGCATTATTTAAAGTTATCAAGTGTATTAACAGGTAAAACTCAATTTTCCAACAAAAATATCATCATCAACAGCAAAGGCCAGTAGCCCTTTTGGATGCCATTAAAATTCTAAGTGATTTTAGAATTTAGAAACATGTACTTTATACACATTTCATAGAATGTGGATTCAATAACTAGGTTCAAAGGGAAGAAGCTACATACAAGGAAATACCAAGAATACTACTTCCCAAAGAATCTATAATTATAAGATAACACTGAAAGGAAAGTTGAGCCATTGGAGACAAACTAAAAATGTCTGGCTTTATCTTACTTCATGAGTAACATTTTTCATACCGCCATTACAGCTGATGGGTTCAAAACAGTCCTGTGTGTGGGTGGTGAACGTTCTAATCCAACTGTTAGCTGATCAGCTGCCTTTTTAAAGTCCTGAGAACAATTCTTTACCCTAAAAAAAGTCAAGTACATTATTTTAAATACCAACATTAATATAAGTTTTAATCTTCTATTCTGATTTTTACTCTATCAAAAGTAATTCACATGATGACTTGTAAGAACACATACACTGGGTTCTCAAGCATCTACGATAAGCAACAAGAGGGGAGCCGTACCAAATGTGCTTTCACATGAAACTTAATTTTAATCAGGAATTCAACTCAACAAATCTCTAAAAATAAGAGCTTACGGTGTAAATTGTGCTTTAATTCCTAATTATCTCTCCTTCCCTGATATTTTTTGGTAGAGATGTTGATAATCACTGAACTGTTTTAAGCTCCATTAACCTAAGTACTTATACACATAAATGCCAGATATCAAAAAAATGTACTTATAGGCCTAGATAATTTACAGAAAAGTAATGAATTCACTATATAAGGTGATTTGCAAGGAAAAAATTCCATTTCTTGTCTATAGATGCTAGAGTTTTGCCTATTTTCATCTTTATATTCCCATATTAGCTAGCGCACAGTACGCACTTAGTTTGCTGAATATTACATTAATCATAAGCCTGTAAGTTTATAGAAGAAACCATGTTTAAATGTTACTCTCAAAGAGAGAAACAATAAGACTAATTTTTAAGCAATTACTTTGAAGAGTGAACATTCGTGTTTTTAAAAACATATTTGAGTGCATTAGCCCCGAGAAGTCCATATTCAATTCCTATTTCAAAATATTTAAATTGGGAAGGAAGTACATTATGTATCAAGGGATACGTCTATTTAAAATTTACAACTATTTTAAACCAAACTCTGCTGAAATTAGGGAATAGAGTTCCTAAGTATACTTGGAGAATTTAAGAAATAGTAACTTGGAAAAACTTGGGTGCTTAAAGTGGACTCATCTACTTCTGAAAGGGAAATGTCACTCTGCAACCACACCAGGTAACATATCCATTAAGAGCAGAGTACAATCGGATCTGACTTGCATGATGGTTAAAGTTGGAAACGTCACCTTCAAGTCCAGCTCTGTTTCCTCTGGGAGGAAAGGAGAGGAAGACTTGGCAACACGAGGGTGGTCCCGGCACAGCAGGATCTGCCTCCTCTGCAAGGGGAGAGCCTTGCTCCGTCTGCCACAACCCTCACTGCTCACTGTTTAAACCCAGTCGGCCCCACCCTATCCCAGCATGTAGTCCGCTAGACTCCAACCGGTGTTCAAATCTGCATGGCCACTGACTCTCATGGAGCTAGGAAGGTTCCTGAAGAATTGTTGCAGTCACTCCGCACGGAACTCATGGAGGAAATGACTGGTAGAATACAAACACGGGAGTCGGGGGAAGCACTGGCATCCAATAAACCTGAGTTCTGCTTCAAGTTGTGTCAATTACCAGCCGCCAGTCTTCAGCTAAGTGGTTTTACTATCCAAAGACATAACTATACTGCTCTCTGGCTTTCTAAGCACACAATTAAGTCTAGACAGAGAAGCTGCAATAGTCACGTGTAAAGCCACGAATGCCAGTCTAAAGAATTCTGGATTTTTTCTGGATGGCAATGAAGAGCCACAGAGCAGAGTCTGAAAGTGCTAAGGAGGCAAGAAGCGAGACTGAAGCAGGCAGTAGAGATGGACGATACATGTGGACGTGGGAGACACTGGAAGTTGGAACCTGCAGGAGGCCCAGCGAACGAGAGAGGAGGAACTGGGCTGATTTACAGAGGCTTGGTGCCATCCACAGAACTGCAAAGTTCCGAATGAGATTGTTCCTTGAAGATATATTTCTTTTAATTCCTACATAATTTACTACAATGTTAATGATTTTTCAAATGTTAAAAAATATACAAAATTATAACTGCCATCTGAGTAGGGTCCCAGAAAGTTAATAAGAAGGTTCTTTAACCCTTAAAAAGTTGCAAAGCACACAAGACATACTTTTTAGGCTGCAGTTTTTCCATAAAAGAATCTTCTTTAACATATCCATCTAATGGGTAGCATCCTTGTCTCCTATTTACAGTAGTAGCAACCTTAGGACAAAATAAGATTAAAAACAAAAATGGAAAAGTCATTCAATAAATTCTGTTTACCCAGAATTCAAACTAATGTTCCATTCATAAAGTTGAAAATAGCCTTAAAAATCCTTAAATCCTCTTTAAATCAAAGAAAAAATTGCACATCTCTGATGTTTTTACCCTATTTCTATTTTTGAAGAAATCGGTAATTTGGCAACCACGTATTAAAAAGAATATTAAATTAACTACAACTTCTACCATAATTCTAAAGGAAATACTTGCAATACTTTAAAAATTTACTATAAAAATTTTACAATAGTACTTAAGGTACGTTCAAAACTCTAAAATACTTAGAAATAAATTTAATAAGAAAAAATATAAGGCCTAAGAAAAATAATTTATTGAGGATCATAAAACAAGAACTGAATAAAATGGAGAATCATGTCGGGTTCCTGGAGACAAAGATTTAATATCCTAAAATGTGTCAAATATAAAACTAATACAATTCTAAATTCATATGGAAAACATATTATGCAAGAATTACAAAAATTTTAACATACTATTCAGTATAGATTTATCCCATCAGATAATAAAACAACTGTAATTAAAACACTAGGTACTGGCACAATAAAGGAGCAGCACAGAGCCCTGAAACAGATCCACATATGTGGGAACCTAATACAGAATACAGGTGACATTTCAATTAAATAGAGGATTATTCAGTAAATAGTATGAGAAAGCTATACACCCAACTTGTATCATATATGGCTATTATAAAAAGATTAAATGTGTCTTTTTAAAAAACACAATGTAAATATTTAAAATATATATATAACTGGGAGATGGGAAGGTCTGCCTAATCAATGAAAACCTAGAAGCCATGAAGGAGCAGGGAAAACACTAAAGAAGGAACCATTTCTGAAAGGCTAAATGTAATTAAAAAATTAAAAGTGAAAGACTGGGAGGAAACAAGATAAAGTGTTAACACCCCATCACATGATATGTTCCTACAAGTCAGAAGACAATTCAAAAGAGAAACATACAAAAGGGAAACGTGAAAGGGACGGAAAAGCCCTTCCCAGAGGGGAGCTCAGATGCTGACACAGGAAAGGTTGCTCAATTTCACAAGTAGTCAGGGAAATGCAATTTAAAACATTAAATGAATATGACAAATTGAAACATGGATTTGTTTTGGAGGTAGAAATGAACAGAACCTGCCGATAGGATATTTTTGGTTGTGGTGAGGGGGTGAGGAACTGTGTAACGATATAGTGAAAAATTCTGAAAACCACCCAAATGTTTGTAATGAAGGGATCAGTTAAGAATTCCAGCACTTAAGTACAATGGTTTAGTGAGCGGCCATTAAACGTCAGAGGTCTGAGACCCCCGTGAGGATACGTCAATGCTCCCACTTACAAATACGCCTTTGGTAGGGAAAAGGGTGTCCTGTCAAGGTTTTAAGTATGAAGCACCAAAGACAGCCACGTGTTATTAAACACTTAGGGATCTAAAAGTGTTACTTTTAACAAGTCACATTGAACCAAATGTTATTTTTAAGAAACCATCCCCCCAAACAAGAGGCTAAAACCTTGATTTCTTTGTGCCCCTCACTGATCTCTCTGGCTTGCCATGTCACGGGAAGAGGTTAACCTTACCGTGAGTGAGGTAGCTAGTCAGACACCAGCGACAGGGGAACAAAGGAACAGGGGCCCAGCGCAGAGACCGCCCAAAGAACACCCTATTGGTAGAGAATCCCACTTGCATCCCCAGAGACAAAGGACAGGAGGGCCATAATCTTAGCTGGTTTAATCCTGCCACAGATGCCTGAGCAGAAGGTACCAGCCTGACCTGCCCACAATCTAAGTCTCATCACACTGTCATTATAATACTATGTTTATGCCCGGAAGTTCATGAATCTAATCACAACAAACTGAATTCCAGGTAAGCACATGCGCACTAGGCAAAGTGTTATACAGCAGCCAAGTGTCAATCTAAATGACCTCCCATGTCAATCACCTAGGAATGCCTTTGGAACCAGCCATCACAGCCCAAATATAATGCAGACATTCCCACTTTTGGGTTGTTACAGCTCTCTTCGCTAAAATCATGTTCCTCCTTGGAGCGTGCTCTTTCTATAATACACTTTCAATAGATCTTTTCTAAATCTCAGTGACCTGTGATTCTTCACCGCGTCAATGAGGAAGCACCAAGGGAAAATGCTAAGCACACTTGTGCATCGTTATCCGCCCCCCGTCCCGCTGGGGCAACACTGAAGTTCAAATCACCCCAAGGGTGACATTACTATCAACAGAGGACATTCTCTCCAAGAAATTTTAAGAAAATATTAAATACAACTGATTTAAAAGATTTCACTTAAAACTGTACAAAGAATCTCACTTGTAATATAGAAGAAAAGCTTTCTTCTGCCTCTCGCCTCCAACTTGTCATTTAAATTTATGGTGATGTTTTGTTTTTGTTACTTGTAAATGAAAGCATGTGGTCAAGTTTAAGCAGCATTTTCTTCTCTGGTTTCTGGCTTTCCCATCTAAGACTGTACAATTATCTATATTTTCTTTCAGTTTACATTTTCAATTTGTATGTTATTAACATTCCAATTCACATGAAATTTTAATATATATTAATTATCTATTGATTAGATAACTTATCCTTTCCTCACACACAATATATTTTTGGACTCAGGTCAAAAAGATCAATAAGATGTTAGTATTTCTGGAATGATACTTAAATATGATCTTATTTAGGACAAAATCTGCTGTTTTGCTAGCAAATTATAGAATGGTTATTTAAAAAAATTAAAATCAATCAAAAGCAGTGAAGGGATGCTATAAAAACACACACGACTACATAGATAAAGACTGGTATAGAAATCCATAGCATTCACCCAAACTCAGAAATAAGAGCAAAAGTATACTCTTAATCCTGAATGGAATCATTTTAGGCTTAAATGTGAAATAAATAGCACTACCTAGGCCTTCAACATTAAAGATAAATTATAAGTCTAATGCAAATACAGGTACTTAAATCTTACTTCATAGCATACATAATTTAAAATAAACTGCATTCCTGAAGTATTCTATAAAATAGGAGTTTTCATTATTTATACTAGATTCTTCCATTCTTTCACTATATACTAGATTCTTCTATTCCAAATAAAAACTAGAGAGCAGCAAAAATCTAAACTTTAAAAACTACTAAGAGTGGCAACAATTTCAAGAAGGTTTCTTGAAAAACTCCTTTAAATAGCAATCAGCTTTAATGTGTGAAGAATCTGGATATAATCCCTTGTCAATTACCTGGGCTAACAGCACAGGGGGAGGAGGGAAAGGAGGGAAAGATGGGATAAATCACATCTCTCTCAAAGAAAGAGGCAGAACTAGTCAAAATGATATAAAAATAGATTTATCACAACCCTAAAATTAAAATCTGTATGCGTAAGCACCTTAAATATTTGTACAGATATAATCCAAAATAATAAAAGTATAATGGTTTAAGACCACTAAACATGAACTCATTTACCAAAAAAGGCGAAAGTTTCTCTAATACATTTATTTGTCTGTTTCTGAATATCAGAACAGAATGGCTATGGGTGGGAACTGTTCCAGCTCCTCCCCTTTCTCTCATTCTTTACCCGCCATGAGACTGCATGTGTCATGTGTCGGGGACCCTCCACCACAACCACGAGAGCTCGGTTCCCTTTTGTCTTAACTATGCAGCCACATTCGAGGAGCCTACTGTCTGGAAAGGAAAGGAGAGAAGAATTTTCTACGACGAAGGCCACAGTTTGTAAAGTCTGTAATTACAAAACAGACGTCTTCTAATACGTAAATGTTTTTGCTCATAATTTACATATAGGCGTGCATGCATGCATTTGTGTATTTTTATCATGCTTAACCCTCAAACTAGTTAATTCACACCTAAATATCAAGGGTCAACTATAATACTTATTTTAGTGATCTTCAAGCTTGCAGAGAACTTTTACATAATTCAGATTTGACTCTTATAATCCCATGAGATAAGAAAAGCAGGTATCATTTTCATCTGACACATGAGGAAACTCAGGCTTAGTGCTGAGAGAATTAGGACTGCATTCCAGGTCTTCTGCCTTCCTATAAACCATTGGCCACGCCGCCAGAAAATAAGCAATTTCATCATCTGACCTCTTAAAGGGAACATTAAGAATTTAGAGATTAAGACGACCTTCCAGAAACACTATGTAAATTGAGCTACATCTGTATTTGTAGTAAATGCAAACAATGTTCATTAAATTTTATTTTAAATCCTTGATTTATCCTCATTATTTGGGGTCCATAGATTTTAGTGTCAGTGCAACTGTACTATTTTTAGTGCTTCTGAAATTAACGTCAACTTTAGGCCACTATTTTGCTTCTTGTTTTATACTATGACATCTCCACAAATGTAAATTTGATGACACACAAACGGTGAGGGGAAGGTGGAGATCAAACTTTACTTGCATGGTACTGGTGTGGGGACGAAAGGTAGGCATTTGAAAGGAATATACTTCATAAAAATTTTTTAAAAAAAGGCAATTTCCCACAGATGTCTCTAAATAGTCAAAATATGTAGGCTGAATCATGTATAACTTGCATTCTTCTTGATCACTTTGAACAATTATAAAACAGATGGGAAAAGCTTTCTCTTGTGTTAGGCTTCTTGGCTTAGAGACTAAGCAGCAAAAAATGCAACTAAAAAGTTTCTAACTAGGTTTTACTTCTCTAACATTTTTACCTTTAACATTAAGTTATAATGTATTTAATATAAAAGATGGTAAAACTTACCTCACAAGTGGGGCATATAATTGTGCTGTATTCTTCAGTTATTAGTAAGCACAGTTCACAAAAATCATGTCCACATTGAAGTTCATAGTGGTGACCTATTGATGAAATTGTGAATTAACCTTTCCAGTTTGTTAACACTGAATGTGCAGCATTAATCAGAGGGGACAATTAAAGGAGATTCTATTGTATAGGAAAAGATATTGTTTACTTAGAAATTGTTGACTTATTAAACAAAAGTCAGGAGAACCTATACAAGTCAGAAGGAAGGAGAAAAATCAGAAAAAAACCAGGCAGAGCTATGTAATACTGTTCACATTAATTTAGATAGTTTTTGGTACCTATAACACTTTGAATTTGCCATCTTATAATCACACAAAGTGCTCTGACGTACTTCATCTGCTTTGTGTAAATATCATGGCTAAGTAGGCTGGGAATGTTATAGTCAACCTAGAAATGTAAACATATTTCCATGACGTGCCTATTTAAATGGTCCATCCCATACTCTAGCCTAGTTCTGTTTCCAAGTGCAACATTCTTTCCACTTGATCATAATGCCCTCTGCTAATTTATATCACCCATCTTGTGAAGCCCACAGGAAGGGCAGATATAACACCAGCGAGACCCCACTCTTAGAATAATCTAAGACACCAGCAAGGACAGAGGCCAAACGCTTCTACTGTCACTCACTCACTCACACACACACACACACACACACACACACACACACACACACACACACACACGACCCATGTAAAGATCATTTTCACAAATCTAGCATTTATGAGGAAAATATCATAATCTTGATTGAAAACCTGGAATCAACATTCTAACACTAAGTAGAATTTGAAGTTCATCATAATAAGAATATTTGTTTTAGCTCTGTAACTTCAAAAAAGATGCTATTTTGATACTGCAAGAAAAAAAAAACGGAAAGTGAAAAAGAAACTAGATAAAACCAGTCACCTTTTCTAGCAAAAAATTAGTATTCTTGCTGACTTATAATTGCATTCTTTAGATCAAAAAAGCTTTAGATTTTAAGCCAACTGAAATACCTGAAACTTGCTTACAACCAAGCTAAATTTTAAAGCTCTATTTAAATTCCAGAGATGATACTACCAAAGAAAGCAAGACTGCGCAACTGTTTCATCTTTAGACAATTTCTTACATTGTACAGGTCAAAGTAATCTGCGGTGTACTACAGCTTACAAAGCCCTCTTGCAATTCCAGATGTATATCCACCATCCTCCCCAACGAGAATTTCTAAGCAGTGTGATACAAATGCATGGAAGAACCAGTGATTATAAAAGGTCGTGTTCTAAAACTTTATTTTGTAATTCTTATCTCCTTCAAACAACGGAGGCTTTCTGTGCAATAGCAACGGTGGAAACCCAGAGTAGGGAAAACCTGGCTCTCCATCCGGAAACACAACCAATCAACCAACTTCGTCTACACACGTTTGTGCCTCCTAAAAGGAGTCCATCCAACAAGGACTAGGAAAACTGATCAAATGACTCACTTTGAAAGTACAAACATTAAACAGTTACACGGGGTAACAATGACTTTCCAGTAACCCATCCCTATCGGAGACAGAGCACTCTAAGGCGTTTTAAATTACATTACAATAACTTAAACTTGTTTTCATTTGAGTAGACTCTAAATTAGCAGATCAACATTAACCTAAAACTGCTGTAAAGTCTAGTATACATGAAATAGTCTCGTATACAGAAAAATAAGTAAATTAGCACACCAACAGGAAGGCGGTGTGTTTTTTTCCCTTGACGTATGTAACACCAGATGCGTGAAAGTCAAGTACAGTTTTCCAAACGGCGTTTTACGCGAAACTGAGCAATAATTCCCCGCCCCCAAAATGCCTAACGCCAGTTTAATTCAGGAACTTTTCACAGTGGGTCCACTCGTCACTTCTACGACAAAACAAAAAAACAAAAAAACAAAAAAACGACACGAGAAATTTGGGTTTCATTACTTCTTGACCACAAGACAACCGGCTGGAGTTTCCCATCGATTCCTCCGTGACCCTGGGAGCGTCTCGAACCGGGGCGCAGGGGCGCTCACACACGGTCGGGGCGACGCGGGGCGCAGGCGGAGGTGTGACACCTCACCCAAGACCGACCACAGCGGCCCCGACCGAGCCCCGGGGTGCGCTGCGGGGACAAGAAGCCTGGGCGACGGTTTCCACATCGGCCCGACCCCGCCGGTCTCCACCTGTCCCCAGGCCTCCGACTGGTTCGCGCGCCCGCAGGGACTAACCCTCGCGCTCCTCACCGGTCATCTTTCGTGCACACCGAGCGCACCCTTCAGCAGCTCCCCAGGGCCGGCCCTTCCTCTCCACATAGGCAGACAGTGAGAGCCAAGCCGTCGAAGCCTCCGCCGCCATCACCGCCTCCTTGTGGACCGGACAGGCACCGCGTGCCGGTCCCGGCGTCCCTCGCGCCGGCGACCAATCATCGGAGGCACCGGCTGCAGGTAGCCAATCGGCGGGCAGCGAGATCAAAGCCCTCCCCTCCGTTTGGCCACGCCCTCCACTTTGACCCCGCCCCTCTTTTGGCCCCGCCCGCGGCCGTACAGGTGCAGGGAGGCTCTTTTCAGTTTTAGCCTCGGCGGCTCCGTTCCTAGGAAGGTCGCCACCAGGTCAGGAAGGACCATTTACTTTAAAATGTTTACCAAAAGCGTCATCCCCGGAGCACTCTTAGTGCAGTCAGAGCCAGAGTGCACGTATTATTACTTACACTGTTGTTGACCTCAGAGGCAGCAAACCATTCCTTCCATTAAAAGAACCAGCAGCCCCAAACCTGTAAAAAATGTATCTTTATCACACCTTTAAATCATCTACTAGAGATTTGAGGGCTTGACTATTAGTAGTCCCAGCGGAGAGCCTATCAGTGACTACAGGTGGGGAGACTCAATTAACAGTTTCCAACTAAGGGTGACCATCATTACCAACAGCTTTTGAGCTGGGAGCCGTTGGGGATGCTAAGAATTGATAAAGCACAGGTTTATTACCTCTTGCTAAAACGGTACCTTCAGCCAAGGAAGCTTGGGGTAAGTGTCAGAGGGGCGTTAAAGACAATAAAAATCAATGCACTCTGGAGAGTTGACGTCAATATGGTCTAGAGTGGTATGAAAATCCTTCCTAGAGGACATAGGGTTGCATGAGGCCTTGGAAACTGGGAAAGACTTAAAGGAGTAAACAGAGAAAATGAGGTGTTCCCAGGAGAAGGAACAGCATAAACAAGGGAAAGTAGGTGGGAGTTGAGTGGACTCTTCAGAATTGGTTTTCTAGATCATTTGGCCAGAATAGTAATTTGCTTAAAGTGAGCCTTTTGGAGAGGTGTGTTGGTGTTGAACTTTGGAGAGTCTTGAATGTTGGGCTAAAGAGTTTGGACTTTACTTTTCAAGCAGTGGAGTGCTGGCTAAGTGTGTGACCAAGAGATGAAATAGTCTGGTGACAATGTGGCAGGTGTATTGTGGAGGATACACCTGGAAATGGCAGGGTGCCTTTAGTGGTTGAGAATAAAAGCCTGCATATATTCCTTATTTTTCCTCTCCATATTTTTTGAAGTAGAAACAGAAATATTCTATTTGAAAGCTCATCCCTGCACAAAATTTTTTATGCTTTGTTGCCCTCAGGATAAAGTACCGATTCCTTAACCTGCCCCCATGCTAACCATCCCATTGTTTGCTACTAATCCATACCAGAACTCAGAGTACTAATCAAGCCAATATTCCCACATAACATGTTAATTCTTCTCCAGCTTCGTGAATGGTGTTCCCTATTCCCTCATCCGGAATGCCCACTCCTTCCTCTTCATCGAATCACATTTTCTTTTTCCTCTATGAGTCATCTTTAGAAGCACCCCCTCCTTGAAACAGTCACATTTCTGCCTGCACTCAATACTGCTCTAGCATGTGGCAATGATCTTTTTCCACTAGGATATCTGTACTGTAATTTGAATAGTGACGGTCTCATTACATAGGGTTCTTGGGTCAAAATATGGCTCTAATGTAATGTGATACAGCACACTGAATATCGCCAGGTGCGCTGGAGAGAATTATGCCTTCGGTAAACTCAGAAGTTAAAAAAGTCTTGGGTAAGTCAGAGGCAATGAGAAATACAATGATATGTGATTAGACCTCATATGTCAGGTCTTAGTACTTAGAGGGAGTGGCCAGAATTATTGTCTTAATGTTTAATTAAGACTGTTTAAAGCCTTTGTTTGGAATCCTTTAGCACAGCGGTCCCCAACCTTTTTGATACCAGGGGCCAGTGCTCCTATGTGAATCTAATGCCTGATGATCAGAGGTGGAGCTGAGGCAGTGATGCTAGTGCTGGGCAGCAGCTGCAAATACAGATGAAGCTTCGCTTGCTTGATCACCGCTCACCTCCTGCTATATGGCCCGGTTCCTCACAGGCCATGGACGGGTACTCATCCGAGACTCGGGGATTGGGAAGCTTTAGTGGCTTCCCATTGACTGAGACAAATGCTTAAAATGGCCTTCGAGGCCTTTATGATTTAGCCTCTGTTTACCCCTTTAGTTTCATTTTGCTCCACTTCTCACTGCATTTCAGATACACTGGCATTTTTCAGTTCTATAAGCAGGTCAAGCTCTTTCCAACATCAGGACCTTTGCCTGGAACTCTCTTCCCTGCATTATTAAAAAAAAAAAAATTATAAGGTATTTTAGCCCCACAAAAGGAAATAAAGAATAAAATTAAGAATACCAATGTGCCCTCCAACAGTGGAAGAAATAATCTAATTTTACCCAGATAATCTAGTTTTATTATGTCTGTTGGGCCATTTACTGACATGGTGACCAATTCTTTATTCTTTTATATGTCTCATATGTTCTTTCTAGGATTGTTTTTCTTCCTCAAGGACACTCTAAAGAAATGTCTTTAGTGAGAATATGTTAGTGACTGATGCTCTCAGTTTTTATTTGGCCAAAAATGTACTTTTATCTCATCTTCATTCTTGAATGATCATTTAGTAACATGAAATTCTAAGGTAACAGGTGTTTTTCCTCAGTCTTTGGAGATAATATTACACAGATTTCTGACTTCCGTTGTTGCTATTGAGAAGTTTGTGGTAAATCTAATTGTCATTCTGCATAGGTAAGTTGATGTTTTTCTTTGGCATTCTTTATATTCATTATACTATTAAGGTGTAGATATTTATTTTTACTCTGTTCAGAATGGACTGAAATTCCTTGATCTGAGCATTCTTGTCTTACTTGTCTGGAAAATTCTCAGATTTTTGTTTTTGCTTCTATTAGGTGCCTCAAGCCACTATGAATCTGTGACCACTTTAATTTTTTGGCTTCTATTTTTCTAGACTACTCCAACAGCATATTTAAAATCCCAAGTGCTACCTGATACGTATTCTGGATTATCTGGGGAGATGTTTTTCCTATCCAAAGTGTGCAAGATAGAAAAATGTCTTTACCTTTTGGCCTACCTGTTCACTCCCACCAGTAATACATGAACTTTTTATGTAAATGCTTAGATTAGCAGCTGTTTTATTTTTTGCTAATGCAATGGCTGTGTCATGATATCTCCTTCTGGCTTTAGTTTGTATTTCTCTAACTACTAATGAGGCTGACATCTTTTTATGTTTCTTGGTCATTTAGGTTTTCATGTTCTTTTTTTTTTCTTTTAGGTTGTTTTTTTTTTTCCTCATCAATTTGTAGGAATTCTTTATTTATTTTAGATTCAATTGCAAATATCCTTTTCTAGGCTGTAACTTGTTTCTTCACTTTGTTCATGGTATCTCTTATTGTCCAGAGGCGTTTTATTTTACGATGGTATTTTCGTTAAGATTCACAATTTTCGTGTATCGTTTCAGAAATCTTTCCCCAAGCTTAACATTTATTTTATTCATTATCTTCCATAAGTTTTGTTACCGTCTCTTCTACTTTAAAACACAGCTTTGTCGTTGGGATTTGAATAGGAATCAGAGAAAGTGGGGTGCAATGGGAATGTCAGAGCTCAGTAATTTGGATGGACAGGGTCATGAGCCTTGATTTACTCTTTCTGTGTGTGTCCCCCACATACACAATTGGCATAGATGTGGATAGATGATAGATAGATGATTAATAGATAGATAGATGATAGATAGATAGATAGATAGATAGACAGACAGACAGACAGATAGATCGATAGATAGACAGACAGACAGATAGATATTCCTTGTTGTTATTTCGTCATGATTTACTATAGAGGATCAAGTATATTTTAACTTTAATTCTGCTTTTGTTTCCATAAAACTTTGAATTTACCATTTTATTCTAGACTCACTGAAAATATCAGGTTGTCATTAAAGTCATTTATTGTACAACATTCTCAGAGTTTCATACATAGTGGGTGCCCCACAGAAACATAGCACTGCATGCCCCCGTGGTGTCTGAACTCAAGACACCCATGGGGGAACACACCGACACAGCACCAGCCCACGTGGCACCAGCCCACGTGGCATCATCTCAAAACACGCCAGGTGGCGCCAGACCCACTTGCAATTTGGTTCCTTCCTTACTTTTTGGAGGTAATTTTCAGGTCCTCTGCTGCTGCCTCTGACCTTTCTACCCTGTCACTGGCTAGCAGAAGCTTGCGGTGAAAAAGTATAAGCTGTCTGCCGAATATCTTCTGGAGGAGACAGAATACTCTACTCTCTCAGGAAGTGACGCTGGCTTTTGTTCTCAGGTGGCATCATTTTGGAGGATGGCTTTAGGGAGAAGATGAAGAAATGAATGAAGAAAGATTTAAAGGTAAAGGAGGATTTGAGAATTATGGAAGCGTGGGTCCTCAGGGGGTGGTCCAGGGTCTCTTGATCACACTCACAGCCCTTTTCTCACAAGGGAAGTTCAATTCTCAGCCTTCCTTTCCTTCTTGGGGGATCTTGTATCTCCTCCCACCCCCTCAGCTTTCATATCAAAGGCAAATAAACTCACATCTAAATTGACAGGAGTTTTCTAGAAACCAATAGGCTCATTCCTATATCTACTGGCGTATCTCATTTCAGCAAAAACGATGTATTAAATGTCACATTTCACCATCGTGTTCATACATAAAGGTGCTCTCAAGTCCCCGGTGCCTCCTCCAGGCCCCACCAGGACTCAGCCCAGGGTGGGTCCCACCGGCACCAAGCACCCTTGGGACCTGGGAGTTGCTGCCTCACCCACGTCAGTACCCAGTTATGCTCTTTCTGGTTGGTTTTTAATTGTTTCACATGGATTAGTCTTGCCGTTTGAGGCAGATTGCGTTTTCCTCACGATGGCCGCATGTGGTCCCCTGCCACGTGCTGGTGACACCTCTCCTGGTTGTGGTGGTACGCAAGGACACAGTGGGTCACGGCCGAGCATGCAGAGCGTGTGGGGTGCACT